TTCTGAAGATCACTCCCTGTAAGAGTCCCACGAGTGATCTGTCCACATAAACAGGGTTCTTCACTAAAATGAGGATGGTCAGGAATTCAAAGTGAATTTCACCTTTATGGACAAAGCAGCTGACTTGGCGATTATTTACAGTTTGTCTCTTTTCGTCCCAAATTTGAGATTCACATTGTTATGGTTATTCATCCAAGTGAGAATTTTGAGGAATTCAAAAGAATATTTATATGTTTAAATAGGCCTTAAACAAAATTCTACCCTGTGCAATGAATCGATCAATGTTATTCAAAGATTCTGGATAGAAAGAAGTAAAGAAGGGCAAAGAGTATGTACGTTCAACACCCAGTTCCATATGCGTGATGCCTTAAACACAGCTGCGGAACACACTAACCCACAAACACTATAACCCAATATAACAGATGTTTGACAGAATTACTGCGAACATTGCAAACATTTTTACAATTCTTCGTTATGATGATTTTGATGTATTGTGGTAAAATTTGTACGATTTAGTTAGTAAACAGCAGATATTTTCTGTCAATTAATGATTAGCACTATCTCTACAAGGAGACCCCTATAGTTGTTGTAGTACTATAACTCCCATGACAGTTTGCCAGCCTTCAGCCCAACCAATAACCTCCTAACATAAAGCCTGGGAAATCACGAAAACTGTCATTTTACAACAGGGGGGGCTCTCAGCTGGTCAACCCTGTGCTTGAACTTTAAATGACAGCATGAACAACAGACACACTTTGGCTTGAAATGCTTCATTGGGCCATCACAGTGGTGGTGGTTGTAATTCTTACACATAATGTACGGCCGTTTCTCGTTTTCCACTTCTCATAGTGCTTGGCTTCCCTAAACTGCTTTGGGGAATAAGCATGGTTGTTTATACTAAGCACTTGCAAAACGGTCTGAAAACAATCTCTCCTAACATCACTTAGACAATGACCTTGCTATTCTGTTCAACATTTGTTATAGACTACTAAACTGTGTGCAGAAATGTGCTATAATGATTGATTGTATTCCTTGCTGTCGTAGTTAGCAAAAACCAAATAGCCAAGTCATTAAAAAGACTTGTCTGTTCAGATCCTTAATTTTTTTATTTTTTTCAGGGGTCCTTTAAAGCAGCCATAATCTTAGAATAATACATTTTAAGTCTTTATAGATCAATAATGTGCAAAGACAAAGTACCGCAATTCGACTGGATGCATGCTTATACTCCTATTTATTACAGCCTTTGACAAGCTGAATGGCAATATAATTTCTTATAAAAAAGGAAAATAAAACAATCAGGCATTCTACGCACAGCTTAGTAAATAGCCTGCCAAATTTGTAAGAAGTAAGATTTTCAGCAGCACATTTGTGAAGAGTCTCTACCCAAATGCTGTTAATGCTTGACATCAGTAGCTGAATACATATGGCTAAGGCCATACACAAACTGAGCCACTGGTGGTAAGCTGGATTTACAAGAGACTTTACAGCTGCTGTCAAAGCTGCATGCTGCACTGGCAAATGTGGAGTTGGTCGTCATTGGATTTCTCATTATCTTTATTATAACAGGAAATCATGTGCTTTTATGTTTTGTTTTGTGGGGGAAATCTACAAGGTGTTTTCAGTATCTAGGTAGAATACTCTGGAGTCCAGGCCTTACTAGAACCAGACTTTGTTTATATAGTCCTAACCTACTGCAGAAGAGTATTACCCAAAATTGAAGTTTTCCTTTGAAAGATCAGCTACTTTCAACTGATCTGTTCACAGTCTGTGCAAGCTAATATGGAGTCGTGGCCAGATTTCGCAATGCACAGAGTAGGCACCTGTCCTATAGGGAGTGACTGTTTTTTGCACAGACAGTGCGCATTTTTGGAGCTTAAAGGAACACTATACTGTTAGGAATACAATATGCATTCCTCACCCTATAGATGTAAAATCCTATAATAGCCCCTGTTCCCCATTAAAAAGTTAAAGAATCTGTCTTGCTTCCAGCACCTCACGGGCAGCTCCAATAATTCTGTACACTTCTTATATCAACCCCCATCAAGCTTTAAATTCTCTTAACCCTAAACACACTATGTAATCTAACTCGGATGTTAACCCCTTCCAAACCTTAAAATAAAACAAAACACCTTACTACCCTAACCACTACCCTTAGCACGTCTATTATCTTTCACCATACATGCAATGTACACAGCTGCATGCACTGTATGTTTAAATGCAATATATTACAAGCAGAAATATGAACATATATACAGATGTACATACATATACACTTGTAAAACATCAATACATGGGTTTCCTGGTATTATTTTTTTAGACATTTTATGCATGCAATGTCCAGTCAGTACATTTAATAAACACCCTATATCTGCTTTTATGTTTTATTTTATTTACTTGGTGGGTGGTGCGGGGGAGGCAGGGAGCAGAAACCCATACAAATGTAAACATATATATACATTTTTTATTATTTGAAGCTTTTTTATATTTCTTTATTTGTAATAAATTTTCCATATTTTAACAATCAGCTTGGTTTTTCAGTGCCTATTTTTAATCTACACAAGGTTACTATTTATTTTAGGCATTTAGTTTGCTTATATTAAATTGCTAATTGTATCAATTCTGGACTTTGCGCTATCTTTCTATTATAAGTATATCGAAGTCATAGGTGCTCTATTTACCCAGCATTGTAATTACAGGCTGGATTACAGGATCTGATACATATTTGGGGACAAATTATACTTTATAATTTATCTGGACTATTAACTGGGTTATTCTATTATCCCAACGCTGAACCATCCGGGATTATTATTTTGTGATCCCATTGTGATATATACGAATTTTAAACAATCTCATTACAAGTTGGGTTTATTATTGTGTCTCTGTTTACTACACAAGGCTGTGCATTGAAAGTTACACTTAATCCATTTTATTTATATTGATACTGTAATTATTTTCCATCGTCTAGCTCCTGGATATCTGCACTTTCGGGTATTTTAGTTCTTTTGATATTTATAGGATTGGGTGAATCCTGTCTTTCCAGTTTTAGAGCTCATTTATTCATTGTTCTTATTCCCTCTCACCACTCTGTGGTTTTCTTTGGTCAACTTCAGAACACTTTACTCAATATACATAAAGGGGAATGGCTGCCTAAACGTGTTCGACAAAGAGGAGAGTTGGAGCCAATAGGAAGGCTTTCTGCTGTGGGAGTGGTTCTATTCAATATGTGTTGTGTGTGTGGCTAAATCGGTAATGGAATGACACTATTACGGAATCACAAACCTGTTCCTCCCACTACAGAGAAGCAGCATTTCAAATTGACAGTTGTGCTTCTTGCAACTTTGATAATTTCCCAGAAATAAAATTAATTTCTAAGAAACTCTTAGTAAAGGGAAGGCTTTAATGTTTTGTTTTTTTTGAAGTGGGAGATGACCATACCCATGCAAGTAATGGATAAAGCCATGAATATGTGTATATTAGGTAACAGAGCATAGGAGGTGGCCAGGAAGTGTGATAAAGCACAAAGTTGAGTGTAAGGTGGTAAGTGGTCAGTTTTCTCCACAATTAAGGAGAACCTGCCATTCACAAATTGTGTGTGGACGATAAGGCCACCATCAGGTAGGTATATATTGTTTTAGACTATTTGCTGGAAAATATTAGCCGAATGACAAGTAAAGATTGCTTCATTCGCATTTAAGATGGCCTCCAAAATATTAGTAGGGCACACATTAAAATCCATCCCCAAATGGCATCTGCTACATGGGGCAATGCCTTAGATTTGCGGAATGTTGTGCGAGACTTCAATTATAATGGTTCCCTCCAACGCCCTTATCAGTTGTACCTGCTGTGTTTATTACTGGACATACGCACTGCCTCACGGACAGTTTCCTCCAACCCCCTTCTGTCCCAGTTTGGTACATCCAGACTACGCAATCGGCTGTGTGCACAGACCGTAGGTAAACTTTTCTTGTGACACATTTACTTTAATGATTTAATTCAAAGTTCTACATACAAGATGTTATGAATCCTTATCGATTATGCATGGCATTTTTTTTTTTTTTATTCTTTATTTTTGTTGTGCAGGTGAGTACAGAGTAGCAACGGGCGCCACAACAGCGTATTTTTCGAGATTCACAACAGTTTAACAGTGGCATAAAAATTTGCACAGTTTTATGTTTTTAAACATGCTCGACTAAATAGTTAAATCGATAA